AGCCTCTGACCTGGAGAACCTCTGACCGGGGGAGCCTCTGACTGGGGGAGCCTCTGACTGGGGGGAGCCTCTGACCTGGGGAGCCTCTGACTGGGGGATCCTCTGACTGGGGGAGCCTCTGACCTGGGGGAGCCTCTGACCTGGGGAGCCTCTGACTGGGGGGAGCCTCTGACCTGGGGGAGCCTCTGACTGGGGGATCCTCTGACCTGGGGGAGCCTCTGACTGGGGGGGGCTCTGACCTGGGGAGCCTCTGACTGGGGGGAGCCTCTGACCTGGGGGAGCCTCTGACCTGGGGAGCCTCTGACCTGGGGAGCCTCTGACCTGGGGAGCCTCTGACCGGGGGAGCCTCTGACCGGGGGAGGCCCTGTCTGGGAGGAACCTGCAGTTGCCCAGCCCCTTGGTGGATCTGGCCTGCACTGAGTTTTGTCTGATGAAGGGCAGAGAGTGAGAATTGGGACAGCAAGTTTGTCAGAGGAGAGGCCACACTTGTTTCCTTATGGATCCCTGGAGATGAGTGGGGGACCTGGTGGGAAGAGGCACCTTAGGGAAGGCACCTCTCTAAATAAAGGTCTGAGAGCCTTTTCCTATTAAGAAGGGGCATGGTTATCCCAGAACCAAGTGATGTGCGATTCCGATGTGGGACTCCTTAAATTCCCATGGCTCAAAGACAGAGCTAATGCTGAGACCAGAGGGAAGACTCATCTTAAGGCAACGGAAGGCAATTGCACATGGGGTTCAGGAAAGCATTCTATATAATTTGGGCAAGTAGAGAGCTTTTCTGTTTGTAATTTAAAAAGGACTTCCCTCTGAGAGCCCTAAGGGTCACATGAGTTAGAATAATTTGGAGAGCCCTTTGGTTGAGGAGTGCCATAATGTGTTTGTTTAATTCACAGCAGGTCATGGCCTGTGGTTGTCAGGGAGAATATTTTTGTGTGTTTTACTTTGAGACTTGAATGTTGAACAAAAATAGTAAAGTAATCCTTAAAGACCATAATTCACACAACCACTTGAGTATTGAGGCCTGCCTTGTTTCCCTGCAAAATCAAGATTAAGGGGACTGAGAAATGAGTCAGATTACTCATTTTTCCCTCTTTTTTAGAGGTCGCTTGTTACATACTTTTATTAGTTTCTTTCCTGGTGTGCTACAGTACACTACTTTGACCGTGGCATCTTGAGGAGGGTTTATTTGGGCTCACAGTTTGGGGGTACAAGACATCACGATGGGAAAGTCAAGACAGCGGGAGCTGGGAGCAGCGGGTCATTCTGTGTCCCAGGTCAGAGGGTGGACACTGGTGAATGCTTGCACATGGCTGCCTGTCCCCTTTGTGGGAAGTCCTGGGATCCCAGCCCATGGAACAGTGACACGTGCATTCAGGGTGGGTCTTCCTCTCCAATTAGCTCACTCTAGATTGTATTTCACAGATATCCCCAAAGGAGAACTTAATCCCCTCACCCCCTCACAGTCATGCCCAGGAGATAATGTGATCTAGATAATTCATCGTAGGCTTGTCAACAGGCTTACCTCCTAGGTGAACCTAGGTCCTGTCAAGTAGACAGTCATTGTGAACCACGCAGCAATAGAGGACCAGGAGTTTACCACTTACGTCACGCTGTTTTGTGAAAGGTAGTTTATTTTCAGGTTAATTCACTACTAATCATACTGTAAAAACATATTTGTACATAATCCACACAGGTATCTAATGATTTCTTCAGTATAAATTCCATTAAACAGAATTATGAGGGCCACAGGTATAAACAAATAGTTTAAGATTCTGGATAAGTATTGCCAAATTTCATTCATGAAAGATTGTGACAAGCAAAGTAAAAGGGTATGTCTATATTCATAATCTCTCCAACATGGATAGTCAATATTTTAAAAATTAGTAATCAAGATACTTCAAAACATTACAAGCTATTGCTGTTGCTGTTGGCTGCCTTCCAGAGGTGAAACTATGGCCAATTTTTTTATATGTCTGTTGTATGTGTTTGTGTAATGTGCTCAGATGAGTGCAGATGTCTGTTGTGTGTGTTTGTGGAATGTGCTCAGATGTGTGCAGATGTCTGTTGTATGTGTGTGTGTGGAATGTGCTCAGATGTGTGCAGATGTCTGTTGTATGTGTAATGTGCTCAGATGTGTGCAGATGTCTGTTGTATGTGTGTGTGTAATGTGCTCAGATGTGTGCAGATGTCTGTTGTATGTGTAATGTGCTCAGATGTGTGCAGATGTCTGTTGTATGTGTAATGTGCTCAGATGTGTGCAGATGTCTGTTGTATGTGTATGTGGAATGTGCTCAGATGTGTGCAGATGTCTGTTGTATGTGTAATGTGCTCAGATGTGTGCAGATGTCTGTTGTATGTGGAATGTGCTCAGATGTGTGCAGATGTCTGTTGTATGTGGAATGTGCTCAGATGTGTGCAGATGTCTGTTGTATGTGTGTGTGGAATGTGCTCAGATGTGTGCAGATGTCTGTTGTATGTGTAATGTGCTCAGATGTGTGCAGATGTCTGTTGTATGTGTGTGTGGAATGTGCTCAGATGTGTACAGATGTCTGTTGTATGTGTGTGTGTAATGTGCTCAGATGTGTGCAGATGTCTGTTGTATGTGGAATGTGCTCAGATGTGTGCAGATGTCTGTTGTATGTGTGTGTGGAATGTGCTCAGATGTGTGCAGACGTCTGTTGTATGTGTGTGTGGAATGTGCTCAGATGTGTGCAGATGTCTGTTGTATGTGGAATGTGCTCAGATGTGTGCAGATGTCTGTTGTATGTGTAATGTGCTCAGATGTGTGCAGATGTCTGTTGTATGTGTAATGTGCTCAGATGTGTGCAGATGTCTGTTGTATGTGTGTGTGAATGTGCTCAGATGTGTGCAGATGTCTGTTGTATGTGTGTGTAATGTGCTCAGATGTGTGCAGATGTCTGTTGTATGTGTGTGGAATGTGCTCAGATGTGTGCAGATGTCTGTTGTATGTGTGTGTGTAATGTGCTCAGATGTGTGCAGATGTCTGTTGTATGTGTAATGTGCTCAGATGTGTGCAGATGTCTGTTGTATGTGTGTGTAATGTGCTCAGATGTGTGCAGATGTCTGTTGTATGTGTAATGTGCTCAGATGTGTGCAGATGTCTGTTGTATGTGTAATGTGCTCAGATGTGTGCAGATGTCTGTTGTATGTGTGTGTGGAATGTGCTCAGATGTGTGCAGATGTCTGTTGTATGTGTATGTGTAATGTGCTCAGATGTGTGCAGATGTCTGTTGTATGTGTGTGTGGAATGTGCTCAGATGTGTGCAGATGTCTGTTGTATGTGTGTGTGTAATGTGCTCAGATGTGTGCAGATGTCTGTTGTATGTGTAATGTGCTCAGATGTGTGCAGATGTCTGTTGTATGTGTTTGTGGAATGTGCTCAGATGTGTGCAGATGTCTGTTGTATGTGTGTGTGTAATGTGCTCAGATGTGTGCAGATGTCTGTTGTATGTGGAATGTGCTCAGATGTGTGCAGATGTCTGTTGTATGTGTGTGTGGAATGTGCTCAGATGTGTGCAGACGTCTGTTGTATGTGTTTGTGGAATGTGCTCAGATGAGTGCAGATGTCTGTTGTATGTGTTTGTGGAATGTGCTCAGATGTGTGCAGATGTCTGTTGTATGTGTGTGTGGAATGTGCTCAGATGTGTGCAGATGTCTGTTGTATGTGGAATGTGCTCAGATGAGTGCAGATGTCTGTTGTATGTGGAATGTGCTCAGATGTGTGCAGATGTCTGTTGTATGTGTAATGTGCTCAGATGTGTGCAGATGTCTGTTGTATGTGTGTGTGGAATGTGCTCAGATGTGTGCAGATGTCTGTTGTATGTGTGTGTAATGTGCTCAGATGTGTGCAGATGTCTGTTGTATGTGGAATGTGCTCAGATGTGTGCAGATGTCTGTTGTATGTGTGTGTAATGTGCTCAGATGTGTGCAGATGTCTGTTGTATGTGTAATGTGCTCAGATGTGTGCAGATGTCTGTTGTATGTGTAATGTGCTCAGATGAGTGCAGATGTCTGTTGTATGTGTAATGTGCTCAGATGTGTGCAGATGTCTGTTGTATGTGTGTGTGGAATGTGCTCAGATGTGTGCAGATGGCATGGGTGTCTTCCTCGATTACTCTCCACCCTATATATTGAGGCATAGTCTGTCCCTCATTCCTATGGTTTATCAGTTTGGCTAGTCAAGCCAGCCAGCTTGCCCTGATGTTCCTGTGTCTAAGCACTGGGATTACAGGTGGATTGTCACGGCCCCACAGCATTTACCTGAGTGTTGGGCATCTGAAACCCAGTTGTCACACGTGTGAGATGAACACTTTACTCACAGAGTCATTGTTCCAGCCCTATTGTGGCCATTTTTGTGAGGTCGTTGTGCTCAAATTTCATCAGGATTTTTGTGCTAGTTAGTTTTTTGTGGACTTGACACAAACTAGTGGCATCTAGGAAGAGGGGAGCCCAATTGGGAAACTGTCTCCATCTGATTGGCCTGTAGGCAAGTCTGTGTGTGTGGGTTCTTAATTAGTGATTGATGGAGGAGGGCCCAGTATATTGTGGGCAGTGATAGACCTGGGCTGGTGCTCTTGGGTTGTATAAGAAAGTAGGCTGAGCAAGCCTCACAGAGCCGGTCAGTCAGTAGCATTCCTCCATCCTCTCTGGACCAGTTCCTGCCTCCAGGTCCCTGCTCTGACTTCCCTCAGCGATGGACTGTTAGCTGTAAGATGAACTAGCCCCTCCCCGCACGGTGATTTTGGTCATGGTGCTTATCAAAGCAATAGAGAGCACTAAGACAGTTTTCCTGCAATGTATCTTGAAACATTTAAATACTCCAATTAGCTAGGTGTAGTGGTACACAGGTTTGGACCCAGCATTCAGAAGCTGTCTGATCTCTGTGAGTTGGAGGCCAGCCTGGTCTGCACAGTGAGATTCTGTTTAAATAATAAAAAATAAATAAATAAACAAACAAATAAATGCTTCAAGAACATGTGTGAAATGCTCGCATCACTTTATTAGAATCACATAATAATTGAATGTTTCAGACTCATTTGACAGGAAATATTATAATAAATAGAACATAAATAAATATAAATAAGCTCATATACTTTCATGAATATAAAATATAACAATAAATATTTTTAAATAAGTGGTGATGAGTGTTTTCACAAACACTTTGGTACAAAAATAATAGCTTATCAGTTCTTGCTCTGCTGCTGACTCATTCAGGGAGGACATTTTCTCTCCTTAAGATTTCCATGAAAACTTGCAAACAGCAACATGTGCAGTAAATACAGGAGACGTGACCGAGGGGACTGTGACGAGGTAGGGGGCTAGGGTAGGCTAGGAGAATGGGGCCAAGACTTCCTGCTTCTTAGCCCACCTCTTGTTAAAATGCCATTGGTTCATATTTTTTGAAAAAAGGGCACTGAGCGGGAGGGAGGGGCTTGAGCTTTTCAGGAGGAGGAGTTCAGGTAGCTCATCACTCTGTGGATTGTCACAGCACGGATGCTGAAAGCCTGCAGTAGAATGCAGAGCTTCATTTTCACTTTGTAGGGATCCGCTTCTGCCAGGGAAGGCCCCTGGGGCAGAGTCTCGCCGTTGAGATTCAGAGCCTAAAAAGAAACACCAAGCATAACATATATACAATGTCAAAATGAAGACATTCGTCTGCAAACAGGGATGCAGTCAATGCATCATCCAGCGCCTGCAACCTAGCCCCTCTGACGCTCTTAGACCCACCCTGCATCTACCCGGGTGAGATGTTCCTGCAGGAGCAGAGGGAAGAGGTGCTTCCTTGTAAGCACACCTGTCTGTAATAAACTCCGAAATGACCCCTAAATGACTCAGAAAAGTCAAAATTAGGGCTTGTCTTACAGGAGGTCAGAGTCCCAGTCCTTGGTGACTAAGAGGTCAGCTTGGGACTGATCTAGACCCCACATCCCCAGCCTGGGTGTCAGAGAGGAGGCCTCGGCAATCTGTGGGACCTCGCATAGTGAATCAGTATTTATCCCTGGCATACGGATGGACTTTGGGAGATGCTCTCTCCGCCTGGACACATGGGGAAGGGCCTGGGACTTTGAAAATCCCCCCTGGGGAGCAGAGGGGGATAGAGTTGAGGATTGGGGGATGGGGGACAGAGGAGGAGGGGAGGGAGAGGGAGCTGGGAGTAACATGAGTAAAAAGTTAAATAATTTAAGAATTAATAATAAAAAGAAAGAATCCGAGTCCGTTGAGAAGAAGGAGCTGAGGGGAGTCTACTGACTAGAGCTCTCTCTCAGTAACAGATCTGTTTGGGATAGATAAACAAACCAGTGGCATGTTTCCCATTTGTTCCTTTGACGAGGCAGATGAACACTGTGCCGCTGAGCTACATTCCCAGCCCCCTTCTGATTTGATGACATAGAATAAGAACTTATATTTATATGAAGCTTGCTATTCTTGCTTGCTCCTCACAAAATCCCAAGAGAGAGGGAGGGTGTCTGAAGTCACCCCATTTTACAAACAGGCATAGGCGTTAACTCTGACTTACAGTTGTCCCTGGTAGCCCTCTTTCTCTTGCCCAAATCACCCGACTTCAGCTCTTGTACATGCAATACCAATTACAATTCTCTGTATGGTGGAGTGTTTGACGCCTGTATTAATGTCGCTGTCTTTCAAACCAGAATCTGGCAATGTATATTGTACTGGGTAGTTGATGTTAACTTGACACAAGCTAGAATCATTTTGGAAGAGGAGAACATCAACTGAGGAAAACATCATCAGACTGTCCTGTGGGCAAACCTGTGGTCATTCTTGATTGGTGATTGATGTGAGAGGGCCCAGCTCACCCTAGTGGTGGCCCTGGGTACTGGTACTATAAGAAGGCAGGCAGAGCAAGCCAGTGCCCAGGGCTCCTCCAAACCCTCAGCATCAGTTCCTGCCTGCAGGTTCCTGCCTTGATTTCCCTGGATGATGGACTCCCTACAAGCTACAAGATGAGCTAAACCCTTTCCTCCCCAACTTATTTTTGGACATGGTGTTTTATCAAAGACCTAGAAGCCAGAACCAAGACAGTATATAAGAAATGAAAAAGAGATCGGTTGCTTTTCAGACAGTGACCTTTGAACATGTTTTCATCTCATGCCTTAGTTACCAAGGCACCCAGCTCTCTTCTGTGTGTATTCTGAGGTTTGTGCAACCATCTACAGCAAGTTCCCAGGAATGGGTACCACTGCTGATTTCCCTAAACAATAGATGACTTCTCATTTTGTTCAAGTCTATAACTGGACACCAGACCCTCTTGTTTTCACTAGTAATATTTGGGTATGTGTGCAGCACTTTGAGTGTCTTTAAAAAAGGCATGTGTACATGTATGTTTATGTATTACAGGCACGCACACTCATGTGCACACATAGCAGATATATGATCTGTGCCTACAGCATGCAGAAGCCAGAGAAGGGGGTCCTATGCTATTCTCCATCTTATTCCTTTAAGGCAGGGTCTTTCCCTCAACCTGGAGTTTTCATGGCTAGACTTGCAGCACAAAAACCTCAGCAATCCTCCTGTGTCCACTGTCTGAGGTTATGGGCCGGTTCAAGACCATAACTGTACTCCCAGCTGAACTCAAGTCCCCATGGTTGCACAGCTCTTAATCACTAGACTGTCTCTCCAGTCCTAATTGTGGACCCTTAAGAGAAAGAAGTATTTTTTAAACCAACCCTTTTTGCAGGGGACCCTAGATCTTGCTTGCAGGTTATGTGATCTCAGATAAGCATCACTGCCCTCCTTTGTACAGATCTTATTTGCTTGTTGTGGAGATCGCATAAGGAAAACCGTTTGCAAAGAGTCTGGGGTGTAGCATGAGACCAACAAGTAAAAGGCTGCTTGTCTTTGCCCTGACTGTAGAGGATCTCCTCTAGGCTGTGGGGGTGAGGGTGGCTTCGGGTTTCTCCCGACCAAAGAAGGACACCTTACCTGCATCAGCTCCTCCATGGCTGTCAGCATGGGCTCGTCCAGAACTACCTGCTTCTGATTATGATCCAAAAGCTCTGCATTGATGGCCTTGAACTCTGTCCGGTACATCTTCAAGTCCTCATAGATGCTACTAAGGCACAAGGTCTAGGTGAAGGGAAAACATGGAGAAGAAGCCATTGAGATGGTTTAGAGCTACATCCCGCTGCTGCAGTTGAGGGAGGCAGTGAGTCTTACCATCATCAAAGAAGTCTTTCTGGGGGGCAGGCAGCTCCCTCTCTGGAGGAAAGAATGAGCTGGCATCAATACCACGAATTGCCCAAGGGGAAGGAACCTCTTGCTTGCTTACTTACTGTTAGGGAAGCAGTCTCTGTAGAAGCCAGACAACTCTCATTCTAGGAGAGACCATACACCGAGGATGTTAATTCTTTCTGATATTTTATCTCAAACTAACTTTTCACTACACTAAGAAGCATACCAAAATTCACCATTGCAGGGACTTTGTGCGACTGTGTAGGAATTCATGTGTGCATGAGTGTGTACGAGTATATGCAATGGAAGCCAGAGGACCATCTCTGGCATCTTTCTCTGTCACTTCTCCACCTTATGGGGTCTTTCAATGAACCTGAAACTCACTGATTCAGATAGACTAGCTGGCAAATGAGTCCTGGGCATCCTCCTGTCTCTGCCTACCCTGGCATTGAGGCTGCCTGTGGAACCACCACATCCAGCTCGTAGTTATTGAGTACATCCTTCAGCTTGTTGAAGTATTCATATTGTTGTGTTTTTTTTTCAAAAAGCTCACTTTTGGTAGCTACATGTAAATGTCTGGAGACAGCTTACATTTGGCACACAATTCTTAATTGTGTTGCATGATTTCTGGGGGAAAGAACTCTATACCTTGACTAGTTCCAGTGGTAAACAGGCCTTCAGTGTGCTGGTTTTGTCTCCTGTGATGTCTTCATGATCAATGTCTTCTGCAGTGCAGGGATAATGTTTCAGAATTTGTCTGACCTGTGAAAGCCATAAAGAGAAGCTGAGGTGATACTCTCAGTAAGATAACTTGCTCCCTCTGAGGTTGACACCCAAGGGTAGCAACAGGACCGGAACTGGCCACCCCGAACCTTCGTCTCTTTGACCTGTAGGAAATTCATACTCTTCATACGATGAGAAGAAACAGGCCACCGACATTCTCTCCCTCCCCTCTCCCCCTTTGCCTAGGCTGTTCACCAGCAGGATGTTTTTTACACCAAGCGAACACTGCAGCAGGCTGTGCTGGTCGGCCTCAGCACCGTACTGTGACGCTTGCTTCTGGTGAATCCATTGTTTTCCTTTTGCCAAGCAGCTGTGCTGTATGAATATCTTTTTCAAGTATAACTTCTAAAGCAATTGTCAGAGTCACAGCTTGCAAGCCCTAAAGACTAGTTGAGCTTTAATTTACAGTACACAGGGACTGTCATTTCCCCATGGTGTGTTGGGAAACATCAATGAACAGAATTACACAACTTATTAAGAAGTCAACTGCTTTCTGACTGAAGGCTGAGGTGATTTTCCCATTCAACTCTGGCACTAGGAATGTGACAAAGAAGGGACAGTGATATGCCCTACTGGATTCCAAGTTCAGCCTGGTAGCAGTAGTAACCCAAACTAAGACAAAACTGAATTCTTCAATGTCGTGATCTTCAGCGAAGTTGTCTGGAGTAGCAGAGTGGGTTTCTCCTTAGAGCTCCTCCAATGCCTCCATATCAAACCTCACCTTAGGAAAAAAGCCACTCATCTCTGCAGGTATCCCTCCCTTAGGATTTTTCCTTAATTTAAAATTTTCATGTGCTCAAGGGTTCTGCCTGCATGTACATCTGTGTACCGTGTGGTCATCATGCCCATGGAGGCCAGAAAATGACAGATTCCCTAGGACCAGAGTTACAGATGGTTGTGAGCCACCATGGTAATGCTGGGAATTGAACTCAGGTCCTCTGGAAGAGCAGTCAGCACTCTTAACTACTTGAGCCCTCTCTGCCTGGGAGCCCCCACATAATTAAGATTGTTTGGGCACTGAGGAACAATTGGCAGCACATCATGAAAGATGAGAAGGGAAGGAAGGAGTTCTCCAAGAAGACCTTGTGGAATGGAGCTTATCTTGAGATAAGGTAACAAGCTAGAAGGTTCTCAAGAAAGATTTCAAAATACACCAGAAAGAAGGAAGGAATCTCCCTGCCTCCCTCCCTCCCCCCTCCCTGCCTCCCTCTATGCCTCCCTCCTGTTCCTATGCTCTTATGGCTGAATGTCCTGTTTGGGTTGGGGCACAGGTCCTCATTCATAATTAAATGAGAACTCTACCACCGAGTCACAGCCCTGGCAGCTCCAGGATATCTTGAACATTATCATTTGCTGTCGCTTTGCAGTAAAGGGAGAGAAAACGGTGGCAATTTTACAACATATTAGCATTCAAATATGAAACCTGAGAAAAAGGAACAGAGCTAGAAATTAGACTGGATCACACTTGCCCTACAAAAATGAAGGTTGGACAGGACACCTGATGTTTCAGTCCTCCCTGAGGACATTGGTGAGCATCGGAGAGACAGTCTGATTCATCCTTATAGCTTGTGAAGCACAGAGATTGCACCTAGTGACTGCCTGCCCGCTCAACCTGCTGTTGAGCAGATGCAGGGGGCGGCTGTCCCGATGGCATACACCCAGGCAGGCTGGGAGGGGCACAGTGAGGAGCCGTTTTCCTCTGGGTAGACACAGCCCCAACTGATGCCATTATAATTTACTATCATCCTTTCTTTCTCTGGAGACACGGTTTCCTCTGGATACTGTCTGGGAGGTTTGAAGTTTCCTGCACCTCTCCTGCCAGCTACCCGTGAACTGTGGGCTCCCAGAAGATACCAGATGGGTAAAAGCCCTTCCCACAGAGGAGCTTCACAGCCATAGGACAGAAGAAACTCACCTTCTCCAGCACGTGGTTGGTGGTCCTCAGCAGGTTTTGGGAGCGGTCAAGACACTGGGCAGGTCTGGAGACGGGTGTGGCCCTGGCCAAGCTGAGTTGGATTAGGAGGACAAGGATGGCCCAAAAGAGGAGGCCTGGAAGGGAAATGGGGCGAGGGTGAGGTGGGTTGAGCCTGCCAGCCTGGTTCTGACCTCCTTCCACCCATGTTTCAACCCCTTTCTTGGGGCTGACAGACAGGGCAATACTCCTCAAATCTTGTTTGGGGACTGGATGAGATCTGCGTTTTCATCTAGCTCCAAAACTCTGCCTTAGTTTTCTTCTGTGAAATGGACATAATGGGCGCGGGCTGTTCTATAACGAAGAGACCATGCCAGGTCCAGCGGAGATCTAGCAAAACCTTCCACCTTCCTGTCTTCCTTCCTCTGGCCTTCAAATACTGACTGCAGCACTCTGGTCTCCCTTAGCGGCTCCACAGCTCTGCCCGCCCTTTCCCAGGCCACCTTCCCGATCCTGCCACCCTGGTTACTTACAGCGCGACGGACTCATGCTGGGCGAGCACTGAGCGGAGCAGCTGGATGCTGGACGTGAGGCTGTTGCAACACTGACCCTGGGGGACACATTTTTATAATTGTCTGGAGACCCAGTAGGACTTTCCCAGGACGGTGTCTCTTGCTTTCTCTCTCTGTCTCTACACGAGCTTCTCAAGGACACGTGCGTCGAGCGTCCCCAGGGGGCGGGTGGCGCTTTCGGATTAACTCTCGGAGTGCCCGTCTGCGAGGTTCCGGGACCGGCCCGCCGCCCACCCCACCCACCGCACTCAGAGCGAAAGCGAAATCGGCCGGCGAGGCGAGTCGCCCATCTTGTTCTGCAGCAGGTCTGTCCCTCCTCGCTGCCCCCTTAGCCAACATGCCCCCGCTGCCACGCCCCCCGAAGAAACAAGCGTCACCCACTTTTTGTCTCAGACGTGGACCTTGAGTCTGACTCGATTTGCTTTGCGAATGTGTCCTGCCTTAAACGTAAAAAGTGACAAACACCGCTTAGGACTCAGTTCTGGCAGTTCTGGCTGCACAGCGTCCTGGGAGAAAGGGCCCCAAGAGAGGAAGCCCATCGCTCTCAGACGCAGCAAAGGCTTCTGCAGCCTCCGGGCTCTGCAGGGAGGCATTCTGGAAACAGGGATTAACGCAGTAGGGAGGCAGAGGGGAGAAAGGAACAGGGACATTGTTATCTGTGACTTATCGGGTCATTTCAGAGGTTGGGGATGACATCCTTAGCCTTTCTAGAGTTTTAGCGGAGAGATACCCTTGGACTTGCATGATGGGAAGATCTCTTCAGCAGCAATGTAGGGGCTGACACCAAGGGCCCAACTCTGATCCAAGGGAGTAGACGGCAGGGTAGGACCACTTCATGGCCCCATTCAAGATAGAGAACAAAGGTGAGCAGAAGGGTTCCCAGCAGGGTGACAGGCTAAAGCCTGATGACACATAGGTGGACTGGGAGCTGTCCCAATTCCTACTGCAGGGCTGTGAGAGTTTGGAGCTTGCAAGGACAGGCTGTATTTTGGAGCTTTGGGTAGGAGGTCCCTGGGACTTCACTCATTTCTACCCCAGGTCAGTCTCACTGGGTGTGCAGAGAGAGGCAGGCCTGCTTGGCCATCGACTTGGAAGCCAGTCATGTGTCTGGCTGCCCTCAGAGCCCCCTCCTGTAGAGGCAACCACCTCAAGAAGAAGCTGTTGGGAGCTCAGGAGAGAATGGCTGCTTCTTCCTTGTGAGGTCCACTGAGACCTGGAGTGTCAGCTGCCATGCTGTGAGTGCTCAGCGGGGGTGTCTGCTGGAAAGGGGAAACAAGGCCAACAAGAAGGAAGCCATAGCAGCTCTGACCTGCAAGGCCCCTGTGGCTGTGAACTGGGGAAAGGGACAATGAATGGATGGTCAGAACCAGTGGTCATAATAGTCTATGCGAAGCTGTGCCTGTGTCTAGAAGGTTAAGATCAAGTTGATAACGCTTGAAACTGGAGTGAAGTCAAGTTCATCAGAACCGAGCTGTTCCTTTCCCAGAAGGCACAGCTCTTACAAAAGAGTGGTTTCCGCTACTCGGATGGGCCCAGAGTCTCTGCTCAGTGTGGGCTCCTGGCCAGCAGATACAGTTCCCGACCCACATGTTTTAAGTACGACTTTAAAACATTCCTATAGAATCCATGCACGCATGCAATGTATTTTGATCCTACTCACCCCACGCCTGCTTTTAACGTCTAGGTCCACCGCCTCCCCTCCCCTCCCTTCCAATGATCCTGCCCTAACTTATTTTTTAAAAATAACCCACTGAATTTAATTTGTGCTGTTTATACACTCACAAGTGTGTGGCCATCCAAGGGGAGCATAGTCAACTAACCAGAGGCCTTAAAAAAACGACAAAGCACGTGAATCTCCCTCCTGAAGAAGAAAGACATCAACTGTTAACAGCCGCTCAGCTAGGGTGGGGCTCACGAGCCCCTGCCCGCTCCATGTTGGAACACTGACTGGGTGATCAGGCAGGCAACACAGTTCCTATGAGTCCCTAGGTGTGGTAGTCCTGTAGTGTCTGGAAGCCTCTGCTTCTCCTCAGTCTGCCCTGGCCTCTGCCATTTACAGTTTTCTACTCTGTCTTCCTCAGTGGTCCCTAAGGTTTGCGGTGAAGGCTGTGATACAAGGCCCCACTCGAGGATGAACACTCCATGGGTTCCTTTTCTGTGCATAACGTTGTCAAAACTTTCATCTATATTATTACACACACACACACACGTGCACACACACGTATGTATTGTTCACTAGTGCTAATACATAGTATTTAGCACTGTACTGGAGATGTAGGCAAATGCTGTAAGGAAAAAAAAACAAATGAGAGATTTTAATGCTGGAAATGAGAAGACAAGACCACAGTTTTAACGTAATTTGGTATAAGCTGAACTGGGGTACAGGATTCCAGCTGCTTCTGAGGCTGAGGTATGAAGTTCAAGGCCTGCCTGGTTACAGAGTGGCAGGCCACCCCGAGCAATTAAATGAGAGCCCGTCTCCAAACTGGAAACATCCTTTTTAAAGAGGGCTGGTAATATATCTCAGTGGCAGAGTATTTGCTAAGTACAGGCAATTTTGTGGGTGGTGCTGGGACCACCATCCATTGTCGAGTAAGTCACTGTTTTCAAGTGTTCAGAAGATTATACATGACAGCCATAGTTTCAGTCCTGAGTGAGTTTATTAAGTTATAGCAAGCAAAAATAGAATAAATAGCAAGTGACAGTAGAGACAGGAAGGAGATAGGAGGATATCATCAACTCAGGAATTTATACCACCTGGCAGAGAGGACTGGAGTAGCCTGGTTGAGAGCAGATGAAATCAGGGCCTTACAAACAGTCAGTAGAAATTGGCTGGGGAAGTTGAGGCTCTCAGCTGGCATTCCAGGTTGAGTTTTCTCTCCGTGAATCTATAGCTTGATTAAATCTGCCTTGGAAAGTGCTTAGCTACTAATTAGCTCTTCAAACAATGCCTGTTGTTTTTGACTTGATCTCATTTTAGGTTTTGATCTAGAACATTCTAGGATCCTAACCAGATACATCGATAACCAAGCTCTTGAAATGTCCTATGGGTTTTATGATGCTTTTTGGAATTTCCTATTTGTTTCCAGGAACTGGGGTCTGGGTGTTTCCATCTCCATATTTCCTGCCCGTTCAGTCTCATAGGTCACTAATACTCTCTTCACTTATGTTTCAACGATTGTCAGACTCACTTGTTGAAGGCTAAGTTCAGTTACTGTCTTTCTTTTTGGTATCAGAACTTCTACTTGGCTTTGAAAATTATGTAGATTTTATTCCTTGATGCAATCCTCCTTCTTGTCATCCACTTTCTATATCGTGTTCAGTCACTATATTCTGAATCTGATCACTCCAATATCTGGATGCTTGTGTCTGATCCTAGTGTACATTTCTTCTCTTGACCCTGTCTCTCCACGGCTAGTAATCCTCAGGGATCACCCTGCCTTGAGGCTTCATCTCTGAAGGCTACTCTCGATGTATTTGTTCTTTCTGGAGTGCAGCCCCAGGGTTCCCACTGAAGGCAGTGGGCGCCCTCTCTCTCGTGGGCGCAGCACCCTGTGTGCATTTGCGCATCTCCACAGGACCATGGTTACTTTCGCATAGTTCCTTAGCCACTTTTTGTTCTGTCTGTCGAACGCTTGCCTAACTCTGCTTACTACTGGGGGATACACGGGAGCAGAGGGCAGCTCTTTCTATGGGTGAGTCTCCTCATTACAGCCTCCCTCAGGATTTTGTTGTCTGAAGCCCTGGTTAACTTGGTGACTCTGAATTGCAACCTTTTGTTTCTTCACTGAGCACACCCAAGTTGGACTCTTTCCCGCTGGCAGCCATTTTCTATGAATCGGAAAACACCTCAATAGAGAACGCCATCACATTGGGCCTTTCAGTGAGAGTCCCACTTTTCAGGGATATTGGCTTTTCAAGGCCTGGGCTACACAGACAGCTCGTCATTGGAATAGAAGGAAAAAAAAGAGGAAATTGATTCTTCTAGCTGTTTTTATGGAAGAATAGTCCCCCTACAAGTTAAAAACAGAAGTGTCTGGGGGAGATGGTGGGATAGAGCCCAGGTAAGCCCTGAGACACTCTCTCAACCCATGTAACTTTCAATGTGGAATATGCTCGAAGTTCCAAAGTTGAAACTTCAAAAATGCCTATGTCCTTTTAAAAAATACGATTCCTAATATTCTCAGTATTACAGGGCTCTGGTAGATGGAGATGATAACAACAGAAGTTGTTATTATACTTGAGATTATTAATTTTGATTGTCTGCCTGGTTGGATTAAGAAATGGCTAGGGGATTGGTGCAGTCCACCTTGAATATGTCTGTAGTGATGCTTCCGAGACAGCTGGGTCATGGGAGTTCTGACTTAATCTTGAGTGAGTGGAAGACTGAGCCCACCAGAGGCAGCTGGTCACTGGAGGTGGGGGTTGGAATATCCTTGGGGTTATGTCTCATCTGACTCTTTCTCTGTCTTTTTCTTGCTTCATGTTTGTCAATCGCATGGTCCTGTCACCGTGACATTCTGCCTTATAATGATCCCAGAAACACAGAGTCGCTGGCCACGGACTGAGTGTCCTGCAACCAGCCAAAATAGATCTGTCTTTCTTCCCTTAAATCCTTTCCCTCAAATATTTTGTTCACAGTTTTACAAAAATAACCAATTCAATTCTCATGTTTACAAGAAGAACCCGAGGCACAGGGAGTCTCAGCTAGTGTGAGCATCAGTGTAATGTGTGAATCCACGTGGTGAAATCCTTTTTACCTGAAGCTTTGAGGACAGCCGGGCAACGGACATTCACTGTAAACCACTTGGACTTGCAAGGGAACCCAAGTCTGAAGCTGTATTTTATCATTTGTCCCTGTGGCTTTTCTTGTGTTACACTGAGAATGCACGTGAAGGTGAAACTTGGTGGGACTGGAGAGGTGGCTCAGTGCTGAAAACTGGTGGTGCTCTTGGGGACCCAAGTCCGGGTCCCAACACTCACCTTGGACTGGGAAAAGACAGCTCACAACTGCCTATAACTTCACCCTCAGGGGGTCAAGGCTGTCTTCTGGCCTCTGAGGGCACATTCCCCCGTGTGCACATAT